TCTCATCATCTTCACCTTTTACTATCACTGTGATCCTGGACAAATGATTTCACCTCCCTGTAAAATGGTCACAGCTATGCCTCCCTGCCCTATCTCCAGGCTGTGACATGGTCCAAGGGGCTAGTAACTGGTACAGTACTCTCCAGGTTGCTGAAGCATGAATGAAGAAAGCCATTACTGCGATGGAGTTCAGAGGGACCAGCTTTTCCTGCTTGAAAACCTGGGGAAGCCAAGCCTCTTAGTTGCTAGAAGCTGAGGGCATCATGATACATGTTCTGGCTGATGTATTCTTTCAAAAGTTACTCCTTAGTAAAGTATTTATTCTTTTCATTTTTTTCCACTTTATTTATTTAAAATTTTTTTCAATTACAGTTGACATACAATATTAGGCTAGTTTCTAGTGTACAACATGGTGATTAGACATTCATATAACTTACAAAATGGCCACCCCAATAAGTCTGGTACCCATCTGACACTATACATAGTTATTCACATACACATATTTTTTAAAGGGAAAAATAAGTCTTTACTTAAAATAAATGTTCTGTGAGCACAAAAATTCTCTTAAAATAAGAAGCTGTTCAATGAAGTTATTTATGTTAGAATTCAGCATATTGCCACTACTTTGCTCTAAGTCAGTGGTTCTCAACCTCGGCTGCACATTAGAATCACCTGGGAATCTTTTTAAAATCCCGATTTCTGGGCCCAGTTGAGAACCACTGCTTTAAGTGAAATAAGTCAGTCAGAGATAGACAAACAGTATATGATTTCACTTATATGTTTATTCCAAAAAACAAGATAAATGAACAAACCAAACAGACTCAAAGACACAAACAGACTGATGGTTTCTAGAGGGGAAGGGGGTTTAGGAGATGGGTGCAAAACGTGAAGGGATCGAAAAGTACAAATTGGTAGTCCCAGAATAGTCATGGGGATGTAAAGTACAGCATAGGAAAATATAGTCAATAATATTGTGATAACTATGTATGGGGCCAGGTGGGTACTGGAAATATCAGGGGAATACTTTGTAAAGAATATGATTAACGACTATGCTGTACACCTGAAAGTAATACAAAATAATATCGAATGTAAAAAAAAATGTTCTTCAAAATAATATCAGTTATTTTTATTAAATTAGGGTATCTATTTTGCTGGAAATACTCTTCTTTAATATTCTAAATACTCTTTTAAAATACTAACACCTAGAATTTTATAAATAATGTGACTTTTTATATTTCAAAGAAATTTTTTACTATGATGGGCAATAAAATAGGATAAAGTTATATAATGCTTTTCCAAACTAAGACCATATGTCTTTATATCTAACCACATTGTAGCCCTGTCACTGCTTTTAAGTCCTAGCATACATTATGAGGAAAAAGAAAGAGACTATATTGGTAAAGCTTTTATGCATGGCTTTATTTTTCAAAATTTTTTTCATTTCTCAACAAAAATAAATAAACATTAACAATATCTTGTAAAGTATCCATATTCTCCTTCAATATCTTAAGGTACACAATTATCAAAGCTGATACTGAACACAAACAAATTGATACAATTCAGTACTCTGATAAAATTCATTATCAAATAAGTTACTTTAATTCGCAGGCAATACAACTTTATGTTCCATAGCATCTTTAATATAAACTGTATACCAAAATGGCTCTTCAACTTTAAAAAGTGCAATTACAGAGTACAAAAAAAGCAGAGAAATATACTTTTAACATCATACCAATTTGAATAACAGCTATGTTTTAGGTAAAATTTTTCTCAAATTAAAATATTACAAAGTACTCCAGAACACTGTTTATATAAGCTGTTACTCCCTTTTCTCCCATATAAGAGTAGAAAAAAACTGAAAATATTAGGAAAAAAAATAAATGCATTTTTTCCAAGTCTATAGAATGGATATTGCAGCAAAAATGACAAAGTGGATCAGACATTAGCTTTTACAAACTGCATTATTGAAATCAATAAAAATTAGAAACTAGTATTATGCATTTGTTGCATGAAAATATATTATCTGACAGAAATTGATTTTAGCTTTTTCCCAGACACAAAAATAAAAATCTGAGTTAGACTAGTCATGCTAGTGCACCATTTCTCCCATTGCTTTGAAATTGACAGAAAGATGAGAGCAAAATAAAAACTGTCTAGAATGGTAGTGATCTATTGTACTATAAATGTTCAATATATATATATACATATATATATACACTTATATCTCAATTTTGAGGTAAAACCTTTAGTACTAATCATAGTACTTATGTTCTTGGTTATAGAGTATATTAAGTGAGTTACATTATTGTGTGTTCTTGGTAGGAAGCCATGAATTATCATATATACATTGGATTTACATTTGTTCTCAATATCTTGGCTATGAATAGTCCCTTCTAGAAATATAGTGAGAAATCTGTAAAATAAGGAAGACAGACTAAATGTGAGCCAAAATATTTTCATTGCTTATAGGAAACATGAGCTGATAGTAATAATTTTACTTTTATTTTTGCCTAGCATTATTCTCATTAAGGCAATTATTTTTTACTTACTTTTCATCCACAAAAAGCAATCTGGGCCCTACCTTTTATTATTGAACATGTATTTCTAAATAAAGACTTAACTTTTACAGGGGCTAGTTTTATAAACATCCTTAAATGAAGATTAAAAACACACCTAACTACTTACAATTAGTGATGCAATATGAGTTGAGATGCTTCAGATAAACCAATATGACTCCCTTCTTGTCCGTAAAATTAATGAATTGAAGCTGATTTCTTGGTTAGTCAATAAATACTCTGAAGCAATGCAGATCACTTAAAATAGGCAGACTTTGTTTACAGGTGTCAATAAGTATGTATAGGATTTAAAATGTGTTCTTACACATTTGACTTCAGCTATATTAGATGGCAAACAGAAATATCCTTTTTGAGCTCACTGAATTTTATTTTACTTCTATTTATCTTGTTTTTAAGTTTTATATATTTCTGATAAAGTAACAAGTGATTATAATTTGATTAACTGAGCTCACATGTACATGTCTGTTTGTATGTGAATATACACACATACACAAATAATTTGTTCTCCTAATAGTAAAGAACCAGGTTCAGGACTTTGGATAAGCATCATGTGAATGCACCAGGCTATATAATGCAGGGGTACATGTGGAAGCAAGTCCTGGCACCTGGCACCTCAGAGGTCAGCCATCACTTATTTTATCTTTGTTGCCCTAGCACATGTCAGGACAACAAGTGGAAAAGAATAGACCCTCCCTGATCAAGTGTGTGATGTTGAGAAACTAAAGGTCTACATTCAGCGAGAAAGTCTCCCTGCGACCCCTAGGTGGTAACAGCCGTGACTCCTTATGCAGTTGCCCCAAGCATCCTTACTAACTCACGGAGACCATAGGCTCTGAGCACAAGAGAAACCATAGTCTCTTCCCCAAAATAAACAAAAGACAGAAAATAAGGCCCTGGTTTTATCCCAGCCTTCATCAGAAGGAATGAATGGTTAAGTCTAAATTGTAAAAACTTTCAAATGTGTTCATTTGGAAAAATACATTATGGCTTATATTTTCTTGTTTTCCCCATGTTCTGTATCAAGATATAATTTTAAATATATAATTTCAAATTCTACAAGAAGCTACTTACTTTACTTCTTAAGTTAAAAATTTATTCGGTAGAAAACAACTATTTCTGTCTTTAGACAATATATATAACTATTGTCTTGTACTTTAAAAATAATGATTAGTCCATCAAATTTTGGACTATGAGTTAACCTTAGAATTCAACAAAATCCTTACAAAAATAAATACTTTTTTAAAAAAATATATTTTATTGATTTCAGAGAGGAAGGAAGAGGGAGAGAGAGATAGAAACATCAATGATGAGAGAGAATCATTGATTGGTTGCCTCCTGCATACCGCCCCTGGGGATGGAGCCTGCCACCCAAGCATGTGCCCTTGACTGGAATCGAACTTGGGACCCTTCAGTCCGCAGGCTGATGCTCTATCCACTGAGCCAAACTGTCTAGGGCAAAAAAATAAATACTCTTAAAAAGAAGCTCTAAGTGTGGATTATTTTTTAAATTGCCTCACATAAATGCTGTACAAAAAAATGAACTTTGTGAAGCTATAAAAATATCTACTATTGGCATAAAAGATGGTATAAATTGGTTCGTTTTCCTTAAGGAGACTCTGTTAGACGGGTGACTAGTATCCATAAGAGCTGTGGGTTGGAATAAGGAATTGTCCACTTCCCTCCAAGCAGGTAAACAGAGTTATAACTGAGGATGGGCCTGGAGGGAGCAGAGCTCTCCCAGTTTAGTTTGTTTCAAATGTGTAGTGTTTAGCACATGATTTGTATTTGCTTCTCCCCAATTCCCATTATATCATTGTTTCAGTATATGACACAGTGGAGTCAAGTTATACATCAAACTACGGTATAAACAAACCAATCATCATTGCTTTGAGGAGTGGAAAACTATACTTATTAAACTGATTTGACCATATATTTAGGCTCACAGCAATCTGTCCTTTGCTGACACTTCCCGAGCAACTTATTTGTAGCAGACAAATAAGTTTGAAGCTTTCAATAAAGCACTTAGCTCAAGAAAACAAATATCAATTTTCTTTCTATATTAGTTTGTGTGCATTTACAAATAGTTGTCAAAAATAAAACAGAAGTAAAAAAGTTTCCAAATATATTAAAAATGTACCATTGTTGACTTAACACATGACCCAACATAAATATTATTAATAAAATAGGAATATTAACATCAACAGGCTTGCTGTGCATCCCGGCCCTTGAGCTTGGTGGCGCCACTCAGACTTGTGGCAAAGCCGCGTCTCCTGAGGTCACCCTTTCATACTCCTTCCTTGACTTTTTACTTTCTCTGTGCCTGGAAATATTCAGAAATGAAACTGTTAGCACTGCAATTAACAGTAATGAGAACAAAGTATGTTAACAAAAGGAACACGTATATGGACTCAAAAGGTGCACCTGCACAGTGTTTCCAGAATGACAAAGGTGAATAGGTTTAGGTTGGACAAGAAAACAAAAATAAAAAAGGGAGAAGAAGAAATAGCTTTCTGTGGTCAAACAATTTTTTTTTTGGGGGGGGGTACTTAAAAACTGGGGGAAGGAAATGGTGAAACATGGTTAAAGGAGACCTCAGAGGCCTTTACATTATCTTGAAAATTGTAAAATTTCAAGAGCATGTGACCACATTTAAGCCTCATTTGTTTTTGTTTTTTCTTCCTCTCTCTCTCTCATCTTTGTTTCCTTCATCTCTACGTACCTACTTAAAAACTAGTATTTTGAATATCACACTATATTATTACATTCTACCCATCACAATGATATAATGCTATCACCAATAAAAATTAAAACAACTAGGATTTATCAAGCACTAACTAGGTTACTGACAATGTTCTAAAGGCTATACATTCATTATTTATTTTATCCTCACATTTACATTGCCATCTTCATTTTACAGATGAAGAAATTGAAGTATAAATAGGTCACATAACCTGGCCAAGATCTTCTAGCTAGGTGTCATAAATCTATCACCATTTATTTTGTGGGTTTTAAAAAATATACTTGTATTGATTTCAGGGAGGAAGGGAGAGGGAGAGAGAGATAGAAACATCAATGATGAGAGAATCATTGATCGGCTGCCTCCTGAACGCCCCTTACTGGGGATCGAGCCCGCAACCCAGGCAGTACCCTTGACCAGAATTGAATCCAGGACCCTTTCCAGCCGTGGGCAAACTACGGCCCGCGGGCCGGATCCGGCCCGTTTGAAATGAATAAAACTAAAAAAAAAAAAATTGTACCCTTTTATGTAATGATATTTACTTTGAATTTATATTAGTTCACACAAACACTCCATCCATGCTTTTGTTCCGGCCCTTCGGTCCAGTTTAAGAACCCATTGTGGCCCTCAAGTCAAAAAGTTTGCCCACCCCTGAAGTCTGCAGGCCAACGGTCTACCCCCTAAGCCAAACCAGCTAGGGCTATCACAATTTAGAATCATCTTTCATTCAAGCTCTCTTCCAAATATTTTGAGTTTATTTTCTACCCATTTTGGAATGAAGCATATAGCTTATGCTTAGTAGAAGAATACATTAAAAAGCCTTTGTTTAGACTCAGTCTTGCCACTTGTCAGCTATATGAGCTGGGGAATGTCAGGTGGCCACTTTAGATTTCATTTTCCCATCTTTACCAAGGAAAGAACTGTAGTCGAAGACCTTCCAGGTGTATTTCAGATTTAATCATATCTAGTCCTGTGGTCATAACTAATTAGGAAGGCATTATTATTTGGTGAATACTTAAAATCAAACATGGGCAAAACAAATTTAATCTTATAAAAGTAGCACACTTCAGACCATCAACAGTAGAAGTTCACTACTTTCATAAAAAATTATTCAAATGTACATGGAGCGATTTGTAGCAGTTCCAAAATAAGAAGGATGCCATGGAGACATTTTAATAGCATCTGTTAGGATCTAATTCACACTGTTCCCATACCCTGGTCCTAGCAGCATGGCATTGTTACATGAGGGTGGGTGGGACTGTTCTGCAGACTGACCTGAACCACTTTTAAAAGTAAGCTTTTATAATTCCCTGGAAACTCATTTCTATTAGTCTGCCTTAAATTTTAAGACCCTAAGTTTCTGGGGTTATTAATTTATGATGCTGTATTTTATGAAATACAAAACTTGACCCAATAAATTAAATACAAGTGACTAAGTATAACACTGGCATCATGGCTTATGGCTTACTTTCATATTTATTATCACATTCAACACTGAGTTCTGTAATTAATGTAAGATAAGGAATTCTCTCTGTATTTTATAAGGAACTGATACTCCCAAGTTTCCCACTCCCTATGCATAAGGTCACATAGGTAATAAGTAACAGAGATCATCATAGAATCAAATCGAGATGTTCTGCTACTACAACTTCTCCCTAAATAAAATCAGTGCAGAGTCTATCTTCTCCCTCTAAAGAATACTTAGTCCATGTTTTTACCCAGTTTAAAAGTCTGTATTGTCTAAAAGTGACTGATAAAGACGGTGTAAAAGCGCTGTCTTACCATCTCCAGAAGTAGTACATGGAGCCAGCGATGACGAGAAGAACGAAGAGAATGAGGATCACAGTCAGAGCCACGTATTCTTTGCTCAAGGGCTGTTGGACCGTTAAAAAGAAGTGCTCACATCGGGCACCAGCATAGCCCACATCACACCTAAAGGGAAATGCAAGAGAAAGATCAATGAATGTTCTCAAATCGTGGCTGCGGCTTAGTTTTATAAGAACTAATCTCACACTGTGATGCAAGAAATCAACAAGGTTTGGCAAAAGATGAATTCAAAGCCTGACCTAGAACCAGGCCGCTAGATACAAAGAGCCCCATATTGCGCTCAAGCTAAATTGTGGTATGAAAATGGCAGTCCAGTTCAGCGGCCAGGTGACTGTCCGTCTGGAATAGGGTTTTGTAAGTTTTTCAGGTTTGAGGTGCTTTTTGTCTATATCAGTGGAATCAATTCCTAAAACAGTGGTTGATGAATATACGTCCAGGGGCAAGATTAGAAGTTGAGCTGCTATTGTGGCACATGTGAGAGGGATCCATCTGAAGCCCTGCCCAATCTGTACCCCTGAAGTATCTGTACAATTTGATAACTACTACTATTTGCCCCCTATTTTTTTTAAAAAAAACTTACTTAATAAAGTGTTTAATTGGACATATAAATTGTATGCTCATAGTACATATAAACTGCTCCCCATGGAAATATAGAGTAACTTCAATAAATAAATAAAAATAGAGAAATCTAGGTTTAAAAAAATGTTGTTTGTTTGTTTGCTTGTTTGTTTGGGGATATTACCTGCAGGATTCTTCATTCATTTCCACCAGGAAGATGCACTGTCCATGCAAACAGTAGCCGTTCGCGTCAGAGCTACACTGTGTTATTGACACTTGAGCCACACGTGGATTGTTTTCTGTCTTAACTGTGAAGAAAATGGAGAGTTGAATATATTCTATTGCCTTCTTGGAAGCATGAATCATCCTTTCTTAATAGTAACCACTGATCTGCTGTGACAAAGCAGGTCAGGTACCAATCAGTAGAGACGAATTTTCAGGAACACGGAGTCACTCTATTATCGCACTCCCTTATCAAGAGACAACACCTGAGTCCAAAAGAAAGTGGCCAACAGACTAAACCAGACAAACCTGGGGATTTAATTCTCAAATGACAACATGCAAAGGTAGAAAAGGTAAGTTAAGGGACACACACACGCGCACGCGCACACACACACACATTATTACCCTCCACAATTATTCACTTAACCAAAATTAGTCCAATTTTTTCAAATCTCAAAATAATTCTGAAATTCATTATTCCAAAAGCAATTTTAAACTGAATATATTAATTTAAAATAGTTTAATTCTATAATGGCTTGTAAGCTAGTAAGGCTTGCTCTGGTGTGCATTCCAGAATTGTTGAGGTTACCATCAAAGAAATCAACCAAACCCTCCCAACATCTCTAACAATGAGTCCTGAGCATGAACTGGATAAACCCTGAGTTACTGAGGCCAGTTATAGCAATGGAAATAGGAGCTTTGTTAGAGACAGTGTTGCAGTTTACATGTACAATTCACTTTAGAATATTTTAGTTATTAAAATGTGAAGAATGCTCATGACATAATTTTTTTAAAAAATAGCGTCTTGATTGCAATAATCTAGTTCAAATAATCAAAAAAGGGAGAAGAATGCAGACCAGACCTCCAGAGAGCACCGTGATGAAGGACAAGAGAAAAGGTGAATTTTTGGAAAATATCTTGGTTCCTCAGATAACACTGGGCTCAATAGCCCAGGATAACCCTTGACTCAATGACTCAACAACCTTTGACTAAATATAAAGCAAGTATCTCTTGAATCCCCATCAGAGTCCTCTAGGGTCCTTGAGAGAGACTGTACATCCACTTATCTTTGCATCCCTAGGCCTATGTTTGTCACATAGTAAGTAATCCATGAATGTTTCCGAATGAGTGCTGTGACTACAGACAGAACATCACTTGTTCCTCTTACAAAAATAAAATGAAAATACATTGATGATCTACTGTGTACAAAGTTTCAGCTTGAGCCACACGTGTATTGTTTTCTGTCTTAACCGTGAAGGCAGTTTTGCCTGGGATTCAGCCTGTAACAATGGTTTCTCAGCAAAGCTCTGGGGAATGGCTCTAGGGCAGTGGTTCTCAACCTTCCTAATGCCGCGACCCTTTAATACAGTTCCTCATGTTGTAGGGAATTTGATTTTCTTGTTCCTTATCTCTCCAAGATCAAATTTTTCCATGTAACTAGAAACACAGTCCCTCTTCCTTCAATTATTTCTTTGTATGTTTTCCAGGTTGCTAGTTCATAAGGGAGTTAAAAAATTTGTTTGTTAACACAGTAGCTATTTTCCTTCCTTTCCCCCCCACTTTCATATGTATTTATAGTCTTTGAGTTTGCATTTCTGTTAACAATATGTAATCCTCTGAAGTGCTGTTGATAAAGTTGGGCTTACCTAAAGCTGTGCAGTTGTCTTCAGATTCTCCCGGGATACACGAAGGAATCACAGTGGTTCCAAGAACTAGATGTAGAAGATAAAAACCTGTTTTTGGGGGGGAAATCAAATATGTAATTAATGCTTCAAGGAAAAAAAGCTTGGCCAGATTTCCACAATAATGCAGCATTTAGAATTTGATCCATTGAAACCATAAAAGAAAATCATTCCTGGAAACAGGCATATAATTGAAAATGAACCCCCGGGTCTTAGGTCCAAGAGTAAAAGCTTTGGCATTGTATTCATAGTTAGCTACAGATTTAACCTGCTTCAAATCCTTCATAGGAACCTTTTCCAAGACCAGATTTTGAAGTTTGATATCCTAAGAAGCTTAGAAATTCAAAAATTGTAGGACTTCTAATGTTTTATTCCATGCTATGCTTGAAGCAATGCTCTAAGATAGAACCGATCATAAAAGAATGATTCAAATAAGAATTAGGTTCTACTTATGATAACAGCTATGCAGGACTCTCTACCTAAGATATATTCCTTGTTGACTTAAGTGCCTAAATTCTAAATTACTCTTGCATTGTAAAATGTAAGCTAGGCAAAGTCAGGGAATATCTTATCTAACTCAGAATGCACACACATACACCGAGCCATAGAAACACAGTTTCTGTCAGCCCAGGAAGTATTTGAACATAGCGTTTCATCCTGTATCTCCAATAAAAAGGCAAATATTGGAAAACAGGCACCAGAGTGACTTAGGTAGTTTCTTCATTGAGTAGAAAGCATAATATGAATGTTTTTAATTGCATAGGTATTTACTAAAGAGAGTTTAGTCTCATCTGTTTAATAGTCAGGTGTTTGTACTACAACCACTCTTTCTATTCTTACGAGTAATTATTATATAATTTATATAAATATAAATGGTGGTGTTAGTGGTAACGTTGGCAGCAGTTAACATTTCTTGAACACATACTACGTGCAGGCATGATTCTATCCTCCTTGTCTTTATTATCTCATTTAATCTCCTTATGGACTCAGAGGAAGATACTATTGGTGCTACTAGACCTATGAGAAAACTAAAACATAAAGAGTTTAAGCAACTTTCCTAAGCGTACGTAGTATTGTTGTGAACGGGGCACTTGCAGAATTTGGAAACAGACAATGTTAGCATATAATAGACATCACATGGAACAAACAAGTGTAACTGTAACTGAAGCAGATTATTTAATCCCAAAGGGAGACAACAAAAAGGCAATCCTGGGAGAAAACTTGAGCAATGTATTTCCCTCCCTTAGAGTTTTTGGAAGAATTAAATAAAATGGTATTTTTCTGAAATAATGCCTAACATAGCAGAGATCACCAGAGATGTTCCTTCAAAGTCAACATCTAGTCTCTAATGTCAGCAGTACATACAGGCAGTGCCCTCTACTGGTCTGTACCAAGATTATTTGCTTTTTCTCCAAGGAGGCATTTATCTGTTAAGCAAATTGCATATTTTCTGTATCGGCATCATAGTTTGTAATTTAATGTTTCACACTTGAGGCTCCTAACAATTCCGTGAAGTAGTTATTAGCCCAAACAACCTCAGTGCAGCTAAATTAAATGTCATGTCCAAGACCAATTATCCAGTGACCATAGAAGATAAGAATCAGAAATGTACCTTTGACATCAAGCCTCATAACCTTTCAATGATTTGAAAATACTTTTTGAATATTAGAGCTACCCCCCTTCTGTGTTTCTACAATGTAAATGCTGCTTCAATGACTATGATAAGGGGGAAGGAGGAAAACATCTTTCTTAAATGAGAAAAACAGAAAGGGCTAAAGTTTGGATTTTATTGCCAGTTGAACAGAGATGAAAAAAGATTACTTTGTCCACCTAGCTTTTCATGGAGAATGAGCTAGAATCTCTTCCAAGTCCATTTTGCTCTACATCTCAATATAATTTTGCCATTTACTTTAACGACTGAAGAACTAAACCCTTTAACGTATACAGTCTGCTCAACTCAAACTGAAGTTCTAAATAAGTATTTTTACATCCTTGACTTTCCTATTCTTCCGTATTTCTCCAACTGAAGAGTGCTTGGGAGGTAATGTTACTAATTCTCCCACCAGGAAAGGGCCAGCCAGGCTCATTGAAGCTCATTTTTTTATCCTTTGCAGGAATCAAAAGCTAGCTTCTCCGGTTCAGGATTGCTTCCAGCTGCAACCTGCGACGATGTTAGAATCCAGCTAATGGTTTGGGGGTGTTGCTTCTCAGCCTTTTTGTTTTTTTTTAAAGGATTTTAGCAGTTGTTAATTTTCCCACTGTTGGACACTTTGTTCCACTTGGTCAGGCCACAGGTGAAATGTTTGTCTTTGTGAACTAAAGAATGTTCAGTGCAGGGCGTGCCTCCACAAAAACTGGGCTCTCCTAACCTGTGACACTCCCTTGGACATAGTCCATCAGTCAGGATGGTTTCTGTGAGACTCACGACATTAATCCAACATCCGGGTGTTTTACAGAAGAAATTGTAAATAATTTTAAATGCTACTCTCAAAAGCAGGTGTGTAGACTCCAGTTCCATCGCGAATGTATGTAACCAGTAAGATAGCAAAACTAACTCTCAATCATGTGTCCATCTGCACAGCTCTATTGCTTTAAAACAGTGGTTCTGAAGCTTCCCTCCACCTCACCTCTGCCTCAGACCCTTGCAAACTGGGGTAAAGGAGTAAGTGGAGGTGATAAAAAAAAAAAAAAAACACCTGAAAAACTACACCATGAAAGATTCTGATATCTACTATCCTGTACCCTTAAGAATCACTACTCATTATTTTAAAGTCATACAGGAAAGGAACAGATGCTAACGTCATATCCATATATTTCTTTAATCTGACAGTTTTTCATGACTTTAGCATCATAACTTTAGTGTTATCTCTACTAATAAAAGGGTAATATGCTAATTAGACCAGATAGACCAGACGTCTTCCTGACATTCTTCTGGATGTCCTTCTGGACAAAGCTGACGCGGCTACGAGGGCTGAGGGCCAGCGGCACAGGAGAGGTGGTGGCACTGGCCGATTCAGAGCAGCGGGCCCCTTCTGCAGAGGCAGCAGGAAAGGGGGCTCTGCGGTCCCAGTCCCAGTGCTGCCCCTTCTGCAGAGGCAGCCGCAGAGGCAGTGGCATGGCCGAGTCCCGGTGCCACACCTCCACAGAGGCTGGATGGGGTGTGACCTGCTGTGCCTCAACCTCTTACAGCCCCTCCCTCAGCTGGCCTGGCCCTAGATCCCCTCCCTCCGGAAGGTGGGTGGGGGGTGGGGCCAGCACTAAGAAGTGAGGGCTGAGGGCAGGCAGCCACAGCAATGACAGCAGCAGTGGGGTGATGGGGGTGGTGCCTTCCCCTGATCAGCTGGTCGGCTCCCACAGAGGGAGGCCAGACTGGGGAGCGGGCCTAAGCTATCAGTAGGACATCTCCTGAGGGTTCCCAGACTGTGAGAGGGGGCAGGCCAGGCTGAGGGATTACCTCTGCCAGTGCATGAATTTTCATGCACCGGGCCTCTAGTTTGAACATAATGATCTCTCTAAGATACAACGACTTGGATTTGGATCCTTGACCAGGGGCCCTGCTAAGAAAATAATTCACTATGATACTAAAGATTTTGGATAGTGTCTGTGTGTCAGAAAAACAGGTCTAGTGGCAAGTTCACATTGGTAACTAAAACACAAGGAATTCTGCACAAGGTGAAAAGGAGTAAATGATTTGTGAACTCAAAATTAGCAGGTGAAATGTCTGTTTCATTACTGCTATAAAAATCATAATCCCTTTAGAGGCCATTTTTTCTGTCAAACTTCCAAATAGGTTTTAGGATCCTGAAGCTCACCTATTCATCTCTCTACCTTCACCTTTCAAAGACTGTGTCTCAGTGAAATCTCAAGTGCGCCAGCAGGAAGTGGTGTTGGTGACTCACAGGATACAAACCACCTCTACCCTGTGAGTCAGGGCCTGGGCCTACACCCTTACACAATATTGGGGACCGCACGCGTGGGAGAGGTTGAGTGCCATTACCTGAATGGGGGTAGCACTAAATGTTGTGGGCCCTGGAGCATTAAGAAGTGCTTGCCCAATAGCAGGAGGAATGCCAAATGTCAAACGTGTCTAATTACATCTGGTTTCTTTTGACCTTGCATTTTTTGCCTGCACTGAGGGGCTCATCTAGAAGAAGGCAGGGACTTGGTGACTAGCCTACCAAGTCAAGTCAGCAAAATCAATTGCAGTTCCGGAAATAAATTGGCTTCCCTTTTTTCTCCCTTTGAAAAAAAATCAAGCATATAAAAATGACCCAAAATAAAATGAATGGGTTACAGAATGAAAGGAATGCAATTTTTTTCTCCCTAATTTTACCTTTTATGTTTAGAACAGAACACCGAACTTATAATAAATTGTAGTATTTGCCCAGCCCAAACAGGTAGTAAAACCTGTCTTATTCACATTTTTGCTTTGGTCACATGTCAATCTACTCATGGACTGCTAGATTTCCACCTCTTCCATGGTGGTCTATAACTTTAGCATATGTGTGTAGCACAGTAGGCACCTTATGTCTTGTACACTTTGAAAGAGTGAATATACCTTCACCATTTCCACATGCCTTTGTTTTAAATTACATTCCACTATTAGATGAGGTCTTGCTGCACCTTGGTTAAAATAACTGGAAAATCTTTATTACATGACATAATGTAAAACACTACTGTCAATTCTTTACAGTAACATCCTTCTTTTCTTATACTTATAAATAATTTTGTCTTTGTTTCAATCAATCACTCTCTTCTTACAGGTTTTCAATGTTAACTTTTCAACTAAACTTCATTAAAAACTAAATGTAAAAATCAATTAAAACTATTTGAGACCAAACAGAATGAAACCAGAGGTGGATATGATAATGGTTTCAAATAAGTATTTCTTTTAATTTTGACATTAATAGATGGCCATAGGATCCTATTTGTCAAGGGAAAAGGAAAGACTTCATAGGCCATCTTTTTTTTTTTTCAATTTAGAGGCATTATACCCTTCAATTTTGGTAGTAATTTCTAAATCATACTTCAAAGTGCTCATAATTGGTCATACAATACTACACTTAAAGCCATTCAAATCAAGAATCAGTGTGTCAAAATATAAGGGATTAGTTTATTTCACCCTAAAATAAA